CATACGTCTTCGCGAAAGAATACACGTCTTACCGGACAATCAAGAAGAACCCCGACCACCTGTTCAACCTACGCAAGAAGTCCGACGAATCCCTTCGAGATTACATCAAGAGATTCAAAGCAGAAAAGGCCAACATCGTAGGATGTGACGACCGGATCGCGTCCTCTGCTTTCAAGAAAGGCCTTCCAGCTGAACACGACTTATACCGCGAGCTGACTATCGCTCCCAGCCAGACTCTGGCAGTGGTCTTCGCAACCGCGGAACGTTATGCGCTCTGGGATGACGATCGAATCGCCGCAAAGAAGTCTACTAAGCAGGAAAATCAACCAACCAAGAGGGCAGGCCAAAAGAACGACGGGTTCGGCAACAGAAACAAGGACAAGCGTAGGTCACACCCAAAGGAGGGCGCCACGGTAGGAGAGAACTACACTAAGTTCTCCATCCCCATAAACCAGATCTTGGCCCAAGTGAAGGACAAACCATGGGTAAGAAGGCCGCCACCCTTGAAGGGAGATCAGGACAAAAGGGATATCAGAAAATACTGCGCCTTCCATGGGGCGCACGGGCACACCACAAACAACTGCTTTGCTTGGAAAACGCACCTTGAAGAACTTGTGAGAGAAGGACACTGCACGGAATTCATTGCGAAGCAGGCCATCCAGCGGATTGAGGATCGCGACATCGCCAAGGAGCCACCTCAGAAAGTCATAAGGATTAACACGATCCTAGCCGACTCCGAAGAGTCTGGGCTGACAAGCAAAGAGAAGAAGAGGAAGATCAAGCAGGCCACGGTGGTCTCCCAAGTCTCGACTGACCTTCCACCGGCGAAAGACGACCCAGTGATCGGCTTCCAGAAGAAAGATTTGATCGGCCTCGACATGCCACACAACGACGCCCTTGTCGTCAGCATTCAAATCGCTCAGGCCATGGTCGACCGAATCCATGTGGACGAAGGCAGCGCAGCCAATATCCTGCAGTTGACTGTCATCCAACAGATGGGCTTGGAAGCAAAGATCAACAAATCA